ACTATAGCTTTACTTATAAATTAATATGCCTGATTATTCAAACTGCTTATATTCTTTGTATATATAAAGTTTATTTTCTACTTTAGTATTTATATTTGGACTTTCTTTTTTTCATAATTTTTTTACTAGTCTATTTTTTGTTTTTAACTAACAACTTAAATAGTTTAATTCTAGCCTGGCTCTAAATACTTTTGGCCTATCTTGCCTTGATATATAATTCTTTAGTATATATTCTTTTTTCAATTTTAAAATTTTAATTATTTAGAATATCTAGTATATTCTTTCATCAATACTGCTAGGCTCTAAACTTCCAAATCTAAGATTTACTAGAAGTAAAGCCTCTTGCTACTAGTTTTTTATACTAGCAACTCCAGTTAGTATATACTAAATATTTACTATTAATTTTTAGTTTTTTCAAATTAATAATCTGGATAGTGAATCTTCTCATTTAAAGATCTTTTATTACTCAGCTCTTTAATTTTGGTCCAAACTTCCAAATTTAGTTTTTTTTATAGTACTATTAAAAGTTTTTAGTTATCTTTTTATTTAGGCAGATTTTGATCATTCCAGCTTATTGGTAAAATATCTATTTCAAGATAGTATACCAAGGTTACAGATTCTAAACCTCAACCAATTGTCAAATAATTGTTACTGAACACAGGCTTATTTTCAAAATTGTCATTTATGGAATTTAAACTAACAGATAAACTACTATACTAAGTTATCACACCTTTAATAAATACTTCTAATAATTTAAATATATACAATATATTATATACCAAAATAGAATTATTGTAAATTTATTAATCCAAAATTTAAAAGCAACTTAAGTTGATTTTAAATTTGATAATTTTTTTTTTTTTGAATTGTCAATAGGTTTTGCTGTGACTGATCTTATTTATTAATATTTATAATAATATAAATACATAAATTTACGATACGAAGTCCAACTCCACTTAGTTCTATATTGTGGTGCAAAACCTAACTCAGGCCTAAATGTAACTCCGTTTTACCAGATCATGGGTGACTGAAATTATCTAAAAAAAATTCTATAAAAAATGAAAATGAGCTATGACTAAAAAAAGAAAATGAATAAAAGAGGAAAAGGGAAAAGAGCGAAATACAAAATAAAAAAAAACCTAAAAAAAGAAAAAACAGGAAAAAATAAAAAAAAATTTTTATAGAACTAGAATAAAGTGTAAAGAGGAATTACACCTCTCTACATAATAAGAATGCACTATTATAACCTGTGCAAGGCTAAAAAATTATATAACAAATGCAACAATTGTATATCTCTAATGTAAAGCTTTGCCTTAATATACAAAGTTTTTCTGACTTATGATCGCTTTCAGATATCTCTTTAACTGGAAGTCCCGATCCAACTTCCCTGGAGTAGTGCTGTATTTATAAACAGATACATTACGTGGTTGCATTCTACTGAGTCTGTCTGAATTTGAAAAATAAACAATGCCAATCTTTTGGAGAGAGTAAGCCAAATCCCCACTTTTTGTAGAAAATTTTGAAAAACCAACAGGAGGGTGAAAAAAAGAAAGAGAAGAGCCGCCAAAACCAAAAGAAAGAGTGCGACTTTAGAAAAAAAAAAAGTTTTGCTGTTTCCCCTGTGTTCTTCTTTGAAGTAACAACCTAGAAACTTCATTGACAAAAGTGAGCTCTTTGCCTACACTCCACCAAGATTTTTTATACAAGAGTGCCTCTTGCCAGTTATCTTGTCTAATAATGCTCTTGGCTTGCATGCCAAATGTCTCTTTAGAGGAGTCCTGTATAGCAACGTTGACCTTTAGACAAACCGTAACATAGGCCACAACTCTCCAACAAAAAATTTTATTTTTCTATTAGTGGTTTTAGTGATTATCAAAAAGAGTTAATAAATAATAATATATGTTAAATTTGATAATTATAAATTTAATTTTAAATTTAATACCATAATAAATATATAGTTGATTAATATAACAATTGTTAAATAAACAAATCACTTCATATTATCATGATAAATTGTCAAGATAAAATATAAATTTTTTATTATTTTATTACTGCATTTCACTTTTTCATCCTTTGCAAAACAATCTATTTGATAACTAAATCTCAAGATTATCTATTTTTACCTTATAATGCATTTGAAGAAATTCTTTTCAAATATTTTAGCAGCAAATCAACTAATAATCAACGTAAAACCTTTACAGTATATATATAGTATGTAAAGACTTTGATTTTGTATTAAGGTTTTACATAGATCCAGCAAATGCAAGAAACCGATCCTCGAATGACATATATTGCTTGAATACAAATCTGGCATTATTAGATTACTTATAAGTTTTAGAATTAGATACTGTACACAGGTTGAATCAATAAATATCGGGTGCATACCGGAAGACAAGTTTCCTGATATGTACCCGATAGTCTGCTATAGATTCGCCAAATACCTGCTAAATATCAGCAGCATATTGGTAGCATATTGGTAAGATATCAGGAGGTAGATCAATATCGATCTCTTAGCATTCTGGGCCTAAAAGTAAGATATCAGGATATCCCAATATTTTGCTGTTATGTTGCTGAAATCGATCTACTTCCCGATATTTTACCAATATGCTGCCAATATGCTGCCGATATTCGGGTATATGGCAGGAAACTTGTCTCCCGGTATGCACCCGATATCCATTGATTCAACCTGTGGTAGTACAGTCGACCCTGGATATATAAACGTTCCTATTATGACTTTTAGATACAGTATAACGAACACAATATTTTCTATACCAAATTTTTTTTCAGCACACGTAAGCATTCAAGAAGTGTCTATTATGCAATCTTTCTCACAAGTAGATAATTTTAAATGCAAATGCAAAAAATGCGTGTAAAAAAATCATTGTAAATGAAAAAAATATGTACCCTGCGGAAATATGTAATGCTTTTAAATTTAATTAATAAACTCTGTCTTAAGCAACTTAAATTTCAAAACAAAATACTCGATGAAATAATTTGGAATACACTTAATTTTAGTGTAGGTTGAATTGGAATTCTTTAACGACTCAGGCACATTTTTCCATTACTATTTGGAATCAACCTAGGTTGATTCTAAATCCATTCCGACGTACGACATATATACTATATATACTGTATCTATACCTTTTTTTCTGGTCTATAAAGTATTCGACGTTTTTCCTAGGACAAAAAAAAAAAAAAAGTAACTTAAACCTAGTGTATTTGAGATGATAATTACCATTTAGCACTGTATACAATACCCGGAAAACCTCATTTATTTTTAAAATTGAATAGTACCGGGTACTATTCACGAATCCAACGATTTCATTGGTGGAGAAGGGTACTTTATGTGGTAGGATATTATTTTCGGGGGATACTATATATATACAGTGCTATACGGTATATAACGTATGAGAAATCAGAAATAATCATTTTTTCATAATCATCGCGCCGAACATAGTGTGAGGGCACCTAGACCAAAAAGATGAATTCCCTGAACTACACCCTTCGATGCTTACGGTTAGTGCGATGGTCAAAATACTTGATTCAGATATCAAATCATAGATCAAAATCAGTATATAACGTACGTATGTATAAACATACCGATACTAATTTGATTTAATATCCGATTTGATCAAGTATTTGACTATCAAGTTTTTGCTTGATTGTGCCGAGCACTAACTAGTACCATAAGACTTACGGTACTAGTATTCTGTAACTGCTATCGCTATCGCTATTTTTATTTGACAGTTACTTTAAATTTTTTTAAAAAAAAATTCATCCCCTGTGATCAGATTGAGAGGAAGCATTATTAAGTACACCGGACAATAACATCCGCGTTATGACCTAACCCTAGTAAAGCTGTTTTATGAGGAGGACAATGAACATTGCGCAGCTATATAGATTACTAAATCAGTATATGAATGATCTGTGGATCACGCGGGATATGCGGATCTAAATAATATAAGATGCTCCGAATAATCCTGGAAACCCCACAATATACATACATGGTAATAGATGAAAAATGGCGTGATTGTAATTTAACCTAAGAAAGGGGTGATTGATTGACTGATATTCAAGAAAGATCCGGAAAGACATATAAATAACTTATTGTACGCAAACATGACGTATTTACTAATCCGTTTTATGATGTGTGAGTGTTCATGTCATCAATTTATTATATCACATTATACCAGTTATATACTCTATTATAGTCTCATGAAACTAAACTAAGTGAGTCTAGATAAATTTTGATATATTGAATTTATTACTAATAAAATTTCACAGCCCGATGGCTTCAATGTAACAGACGGATATGTCACAATGTTATGGGTTATATTTAATAGTCACATCTCGAATCTTGAATTTTAAGGGCGCATATAATGATTTATGATAGATGTGCATTAAAATCAGATGTATCATAAAAAATGAGAATCCATCTGAAAGATCGCGTAAAATCCATATATCAAATATATTATACGCCTTTACAATAATGGAAAGGTGATCAAATTAGTATGATTTATTTTCCATAATGTAAAAAACAGCGAAAACTTATTTCAGTCAGTACGTACATGAACGAGGAATCACATTAAAGCTTTTGTAGAAAACTAGAATACGTTTCCGTGTAACTATTGGACAAGATCGCGAAGAGATGTGAAATACGTGAAATTGAAAGTGACGTATAAGGCAAGAATCAACAATGAACATGAGTTATTTTGAATTGATCCAAATAAGGGAAAAGATATCTACGAAATATCATTTACATGATTTACGAAAATAATATCGTCATATTTTACTCTCACAGTAGAACAAGAGAGCTATTACTAAAACAGCATAACTAATTCACGTCGTTACTATAACGATAACATTCCATATAATGTAAATGTGATTAGTTTATAAATATGAATTTAGTTTATAAACTTTTGTTATGACCAGCCTTTTACATACACGTTAGTATAAATATGTATTAGCACGTATGAAAAAAAGATTACGAATTGCTATGATTATGAAAAATCAAGTTCGAAATTCCCATTAAAAGATGAATCATCTTCTGTCGCCACCATCACTGGTTCATCGCCACCGAATCCTCTAAAAGTAAATGGATCCGAATCTGGTGTTTTTGGAGAAAATCCTACAACTCTCAACCTTTTCGAATACCAATTTATGATTTCATCTTCTTTGTTATCTATACAATCTTTTAATTTTTGCTCCATAGATTTCTTTAGTTTATAAAGATTGTTGTTCGTATCTTCTAATGTACGTTTTGGTGTATAATAAGGCAAGAAACTATTTGCGATGATCATCACGCTTATTATTGTAATAGCTATTTAAAAAAAACTAGTTTAATAGATTAGGATACGTACACGCTGGATGGATCATTTGCTAATGGTTTGTATTCCGGAGGTTCTGGTACGACTCCTCCAAAGCTAAACGATGAAAAAAATTTGTAATGACGCGTGATTTTGCATTAATTTTTGTCGCGGCTGAAGTTGAATGGCTGAAGCTGGAAATTAGGGACTTTGATTTAAAAAATATAAACCCTACCAAAATCCACTTATATTCTTTATTAACAAACTAACCCTAAACATTAACCTAACTATTAAAAAAAACTAAAAAAAACGCACCCCAAAAAATTTTTGAAATTTTCATATTTAAAAAATTAAATTCCAGCTTCAACTGCGACAATTTTTATGAAAATATAAAAACTTACATTGAAGGAAGTGGTGGTAACTTGCTTGGATCTGGTTCTGTGTAATCATTTGATGGTAATTCCATCGCTTCCGGTATCCTAAAAGATCAAATGAATCAGCCAATAAAAAAAAAAAGAAAATCGCATTTATTATATTTATAATTGTTTTCAGCTTACACCCAATCCCAATTATCAGCATCCGGATTCATCAATTGATAATGTCGAGCCCAATATCCCATTAAGGCGTGAGAAAAATTCATTGTATATTCCATAACAAACTTCTTTGTACTCTTCCAACGTTTCAACGAATCACAAACAACTTGAAGATCGATCGCGATCTTTAACGTTTTAGAAAAATGTTGAATATTATCAAAGCTTAAAATTTCACGACAAATTCTCAAATCATTTTCAGCCACATAAAAATCTCGAGCCAATAAGTCCTTTTGACTATATAATTCGACCATCTGGTCAAAACTTGCATTTGGAAATATGTGCCGAACAGTTTCGAAATTCGGATTGTTTAAAGTTCGAACAACATCTTCAAGAAAATCTTTAAGAAATTGGCGACGATCCGCAGATGAGATCGGATACGTCATTTTTAATTTTAAAAATGAGAATGTATTAGGGAATGCGTGAACAGAAGATTGAGAATGGTTGGACGCTTTAACCTTTTTATATTATTATAAACAATGGAGCAGTGGAGTTGATGATATGATATCATGTGATAAAAGCACATTATTTTCTCTGGCTTTGAACCTTACAAATCACATAAATCATACCAATCACCGCATCTATCATAACTAAAAAAAGAAAATCGTTATAATCACTTTATATAAAAAATTTGTCATCCTAAATATATTTGAAATTTCACTAAAGTCTATGTATCAACTGTTATATTTATTCATTTAGAAGATTCTCTTTAAGTTAAAAATGGCTCCAAAATGTCATGAAGGTAATTTGCAATTTGCAATGAATAATGGTAATATTGGTAACGGTAATAATGATAATGCTAGAAATAATGATAACGATAAATAATACTATATAGAAAATAATACCAAAGTAATACAGAATATCATTTTAAAAGTATTTCTTTTTTTTTGTATACTTTACACCTTTTTACTCGCGTTATTTACGTTCTACATTCCTTATCTGTTATGTTCTCACGTTCTTTGCATTAATTTGCAAAGTATTAATCTATTTCGAGAGAGACTTTAGATGCCTTTAAATCTTGTTTTTGTATTTCAATACTTTCTTTTTCTTTTACTACTTTAGAAACTCCATCGTATGACATATCTGATTACGAAGATTCCAGTTTCCAAGAAATATTTGAGGTTTTGTTTCTTTGAAAAAATTTTTTTTAAAAAAAACCTCACATTTAAAATTTAAAAATCAACTTTTCGTACATTCAAAATAAAAAGGTCTCGTTATTGGACGAGCAACCGTCACCTCAATCATATGTAGCAGCAGTTCTAAAAATCGATGATTCACAAACAGAACTTCGGATTTCGAAATATCCAAACTTGAGAGTTCCCTGTTTTTGGAGTGAAATTCAACATATCGAGGTCTTCTTTCGAAATCGTTTTCTATGCAATTTATATAAATATATTACAATTTTTTTTTCAAAAAATAATACTAACCTTTTTTTTAAAGGAATCCGAAGAAAGTTCTGATTCGAGAGTTATCGTCACAGTGTTGTACACTATTCACGGAGCCGATGATGGTCAATTAGATCAAGGTTTCTATTAAAAAGATATCGTGTATTGAAAACGTTTGATATAATTTTTTCGCGTTTATTCATCGTTGTTATTATTTCGATTATTTTAAAAAAAAAAGCGTATCATGAATATGTTTGTGAAGTTGTGAGTTATAACTTTATTGATCAGTTAAAACAAAAAACTGAAGCAGGTTAGTCTAACCATCCTTGCTCATAGTTTTCTTTCCCATTTATAATTTTTTTGCTTTCATTTTATTAGATGGCAAAATTTGGGTAGATGAAGACTGGTATTCTTTGTAAACGAACGAATCAACGCTCTCATTATTACCTGGGTAAATAAGGATAAAATTGTCGTATTGATTGTTATTACCATTACATGTGGTTATTGCATAAAATCAATGCAGATTAATAAAATGTGATATCATAACCGATCATTGCAAAGACTGCCTAAAAGAAAAAGAAAATGGATTACTTTAAAAGAAAATATAAAATGGAAAAACTATTTGAGTTTTGTATAATAAATAAAATAACTCGCAAAAATCTACAATTTGTATTATTTAAATGCTTTATTTATTTATTTATTTAAATTCACTAAAAACATAGCTAAAATACAGGCAAAAAAATTCTTACTTTTTATTCATACGTAGAAAGTTCTTTATTTTTTTAGAAGTATACAAAGTATAAAAAAGTATAAGGTTTGGCATATATTACACGTGTCTGTGGGACTAATTTCTTTGTGATATAAAAGTCTTTGTGATAATGTGAAAGTGATAAAAATGTGATAATATGGATTATTAACATTGATTGATTAAAGGGCTGGTTCAAACTAAACGATTAGTCCAAACAACGCCAATCCAATCAAAAACATAGCCAGCGTTAAAACCAATGTTACATAACTAACAGTCGGAATTCCAAATACTGGTAAACAGTATCCCCAAACAACATGCAATAATCCATGAACCATCGCCGCTGGGTAAACAAGTATTGATTCAAATGCTATCCAACAGCTAAAACCAATATGCGCAAGAATCCAAGTGACCCTCCACATAACACCTAAATATATGATACGATCTTAATATGAAAAAAAAACCCCATTTGTTAAACATATAATATAATTTAGAATTACTTACCCCACCAAGCTGATACTTTGGTCAATGGTCTTCCCAAAATCTCTTCTAATTCCAGTCTTTCCTCTGCATATGGACCATTCAGTCCAGCTTCTTCCTTGTACCATCTGACCGCAATAAAATTTTGTATAATAAAGTAAATTGCTTCTGCGGTGGCCCAGCCTAAACCTAACCAGTATGCTATCAAAAAATCTTGATAGACATCGTTACCAGTCGAAGCATCTTCAAGTGCGTAAAATAACCATACAAGTCTTACAATTTCTTCAGTGAATCCGACGAGAAGTAATGTTAAAACTCCACTAGTTGAAATTTTAACTTTTACCAACTTGGAAAGTAAAAAGAATGAAGGTCTTCTTAATAAGAATACCAAACTCCATCCACTAATTCCTAATAAAAATATATTCCAATGTTCTATTATAATCGTATTTCCACTGCCGTCATTACCATCATATTTTATTGGCCAAACGTATAGTAAGAGTATGAAAGAAAATATAGCGATAATGATAAAAGGTGTTGTTATGAGATATTCATTGAATAGTGTGTTAAAATCTTTTTCTTGTTCTTCTTCTTCTTCGTCGGAGTAGCCTGGCAATGATGTATATTGTATATGATGATTATCAGAAGAGTATGGGTATTGTTGTATGTGGTTTACAAATGCCGGAGGCAGAGATAGTCGTGGTTCCATAATATCTCCTTGCGGATGTCCATGTGAAGGAATCGAACCATAACTTGGTGGCCTTGGATTTATTAAATGGTTTTTATTTGACATTATTATCTAAAAAAAAAAAGAGAGATTTATTATTTACGGAAGTGAGGAAAAAAAACTTTTAAAAGTCTCTTGATACTGTGGGAATTTAATTCAACGATCAGTCGAGGACAGAATGATTTTATTGAAATGGTTCATCTATTACTCGGGTGCACATAAATAGTTTGTGAAACTCCGGTTTTTATTTTATGAAGTAACATACACACGTATGTACATACTACGTATGTATGTATAAGTGAAACCGGGGCTTTTTTGTTTATGACCGTATTAGAAATTTTTTTTTTTTCTTTTAATACTCAATTCTCATTATTCCTCCCTAAATTTAGACAATTCGGATGAGCAAAGAAGTCTTGATCTTTTCTCGGGCTCTCTAATTTTATAACATATTTACTATGACAATCTTGATGATACAATATTTATTAAGGATGAGATAGTCTTTCATGTGACTTAGGTATGTTGGTTAATCTTTTACTAATGACTGACCCTTAGTGACCATCCGAGTTCGTTCAATATATAACAAAATTGTTTTGTAAATATTTTTTCGAAAATTAAACATTCCCCATGATATTTACATTATAAAAAAAGGCATTGTACCCATTGTGATCGGTTATCTCCTTTCAGATTTATAGATTATCTAGAGAGGCACGATTACATAAATTTCTTGGTTCTCTCGGTGGTACTGCAAACAATTCATTTTCGGCAAAATTACGGTTTTAACGGGAAGGTTACGTCACGTGTAATGTGTCATTCACGTGATTGGGCCTAGCCCGCTCAACAAATTTTGACTTAACCAATTAACAAGCTCTCTGTCACATAGCTTATATTATGTAATTCGGGCATTACTTAGCATTACAGATGCCTGATACTAATTATTTCACGAAGAACGTCATAATTTAATAGCTTCATACATGATCAAATTACCTATAAAGTTTCGTAAATATATAATTGATTATCAAAATTTTATCTGCTACGTATCTCATGTACGTACAAACGGCCTTTTTAAAGTTTATTTTAAGGCTGCATATATCACGTGAAATATAAATTTTCAAAGGGCCGCCCTTTTATTAACGTTAATGGGGGTACTGCATTTAAATTGTGTATGTAGATGATCTACGTACTCTCGAAAATCCATCTTTGCAAACCTAACTTTCGATTTATCAAAAAACGGCATGTTACATATTTCTAAATTTAATCATCCTGAAATTTTATTTTCATCTTTCGGCTAAAAAGTTCTAAACGAAGTGTCAGGGAGAATTGTCAAACTATCACTTTTTGACGTTATTTGGTTAAATTTCTCAAAATAAATGCGCGCGCATTCTCTAAAAAATTCTGGTCCACAGATATACAAAAGACGGCTTTACTAATTTGGTAGGTTCAAAGGTATTTTATGTCTATTTTTATATCGATATGTAGAGACCGATCTTGGACAAATAAAGCTTCCATATTTAATTTATATGGTACTGTGCTACATATATGCCGTGACACTTTATACTATTTAAGTTATACATTGTCTAGGGGAATTATGCAATTTTGTTATGTCATAAATTGTGATTTTTTCAAATAACTTGCGCCATATAAACGGATCTTCATTAAAGATTCTATAAATGAATATGTAAAATAATTATTTATTATACGTACAGAATGATAAAATAGAATATTGTGAGACTTCTTTTTTAAAAAGACATACTTATATAAATGGTATATTGGCGCTTCATTGTGTAAATATCGATAAACAAAATCGACAGTTATTTTCGTAATTTTCAATATATAGCGGCTTTTAAAAAATGTACTTATAAAGATATGTAAAAGCATTTTTTTATAATTGATTTTAAAATAGGTATCCTTATACGTAGAGAGTTTTAGATATATAAAGAGGGTAACGATAAAATGATCTAGTTGCATTTATCGGCGAAAAAAAGTAGAATTATCATTTGGATAACTCGAATATTTAAACAATATTTAATACCAAATAACAAAACTCTTGTTGTTATATACAGTATACAGTATTTTTATTATATATAATGGTTAACAATTCTATAAGTTACAGTTTTGGTGATGATGACAAGACCTATAACTTCTTGTGTATATCTTGATTTCCAACCCAAATTTTGTAATTTTTAATTAGTTTTAACCCAACCAAACCAAACCCAATCTTGTCAGTTTATTTTTTAATATTTTGGCAACGACGACAGGACCAAAAACTTTTAGTGCTATTTGTGATTTCCAACCCGATTTAAATAATTCTAATTCTGACCAAATCTTTTCTGTTACTGTTTTTATATCTATACTTATTATCTGGAGCTTTGATATTTACCTGTTCTTAATATAAAAGAAGTAAAATTCAAAAAAAAAAAAAGCTTGGATTAGAGCTTATCATTTATTCAAAGCAGTAGAAATAATAAAATTTATAGAACTTAAAAGGTAAAACTTAAATATTTATATTGTTTAAAAGAGAAAGTTTTAAACAATTATTGCAATATTATTATTAAATATTATATTTTTTTCTAAACTTTAGTTTTTATTATTATTATATTATTATAAAACAGATTTTTATAGTATAGCATAGCATAGCATATTATAATAAAGTTATTGAAGAATTTAATAAAAAAAGGCCCAATAATAATAAATTAAAGAAGAACTTAATAATGAAGAACTATCTAAAAACAAACCAAAAAAAAAAAGACCTTAATAAATTAAAAAAGTAAATCTAGAACAAAGCAAATAATTCAAACCAATAATAAAAGTTAGTTTTCCTTAATGAAGATAACTTTGCATTTGCCAAAATAACAAGAGATTTAAGTTAAATTTTTACAGAAAATTATACTATATATCTGTTTTACTTTAATAGTGTTACAAAGTTGGTTGTAACACAGTATAATATTAGCATATATTATATTTTATTAATTATATTATTATATATTAGTTATATTTTTTTATTTATTTTTTTTTTAAATCTTTGACAGTCTTGCCAGTGCTTAATTTATTGGGACTATATTTCAGGTGAGAGCTAAGCTCTCTCGAACAATA